GAGAGCCCAGCTCCTGTGGGGAAACAGGTTGCAGCCCTTCCTTCCCTTCACACATTCCTCACCCGTCTCCCTTTAATCAGCTTTTTAGCTAATTAAAAGCCTCTTAGATTCTCCCCCCGCCCCCAATCACATCAAACACCACCAGGCTAAGGGGCAGATCCTTGGTGTAGGAACATCCCTGAGCCCAGCATCTCTTTGCTCCATCCCCCCAGCTCACCATGGGGACCAGTGCTTGGGGGCAACCACCACGGTGCTGGTGACAGTGGCACGGCTGGGTGGGTTCCTTCCGACCCCCCCACGATGCTGTTGTGTTTGCAGAGAGATTGTTCCAGGGTAACAGAATAAATAGCGTGTTTTTTTTTCCCGAGGAGTGAATTACACGCCTGCAGAGCAGAGATAATGCTTGACCAGCCGGTCCCCCCATTGTGAGCGAGGTGACAGGTTTTTACGGAGCTGTGTACATTGGTGTGAGCGCCAATTAATCTGGGGGGATGTTATTAGAGACGGGGGGGGGCGAGGTGGTGGAGGAGGGATGGAAAGGGGAGAAGCCGAGGGGCTGCCCCGCCGGGGCGGGGGGTGGGGGGTGATGCTGGGTCCCCCCAAGTGCCCGCGGGCGCTGCCACCTGCTGGTAGGACAACCTGGCCCCGGGTGCCACTTGTCACCTGCTGGCGGCTCAGCCCCAGGCAGCCGCTGGCAACCCAGGGCACTGTGCGGCTTGGACGTGGCTTGGGAATGTCCCTCTGTGGCTTTGACAGGGCTTGGGCATGTCCTCGTGCAGAGAAGCTGCTGCGGAATTCCAGAAGCTGTGGTGGGAGCACAAAGGGGTTTTTTGGGGGGTTAAAACAAGCGATGCGAAGCAATGTTGGATGCTCCTGAATCCTGCTGGGAATGTGCAGCGAGCAGCTTCCATGCTCCACACTCAAGGCTGGGATTTCTCAGGGCTTGTTTCTTCCCCTGCCATTGATCCCCTGCTCTAGGGAAGGTGCTGTAGCCCAGGGTCAGGCAGCAAAGCTGGGCTGCAGCTCAGGGGCAGAACAGCAGCCCCGGGGCAGGTGGGGGGGGGATTTGTGCATCACTCCTGAATAATCCCCCCCTCCCTGCCCCCTGCAGCCACCTGGGTTTGGGGTTTGCCTTCCTGAAGACAATTCAGCGTCAGGGATGCAGGAGCCCATGGGCTTGTGTGGTGCCTGTCATGGGCTTGGGAGGACAGGGGGTGGGAGCAAGGGGTTAAA